TACATTTGACTGTCTAGTATGGTTACATACATAAGTATAGTCCAGTTTTGAAGAGGGAAGGAAAAAAATATTTTCAAAATTGCTTACTATATTTGTGCTTACTTTTTAAGATTGGCAGCTTTTAGTCTAGATAGTGACTCTATCCACATTTGTCTACACATCCCTGCATTTCAAATTGAGTTTTTTTTGTTTTTTTTCCCCCCTATAACGATTAGCTGGATGTAAAGTGCGTTGATCTCATTCTGCCCCTGTGTCTGCACAAAGGCCACATTGAAACGTATCAGTGGCAGCTCTCCAGATGTTGTACTGGGACAAACCATGTCAGAAGTGAAGGATATCAGAGGTAGGGACAGCTGCGTGGCGACACCAAGCTCACCCCTTTAATTCCCCACTGGACGCATCAGTCATCGGCAACAAATCCCTCTGGTCTGGTGTCCGTCTGCCTACCCCCACCCCCCTCCCTTACCCCCTCCCACCGTGTCACCACAAACTCCGGCACGTGTGTTCGGTGCACGGTTCAACTCCCCAGAGCGTCCCAGAGCAGTGGGGCAACTATAAAAAGATCAATACTGGGCTGAGATGTCATCTGGTGGGCTGACTCACAACACCTCCCATGGGAATATGCTTGTTCCCCTTGGTGCACTAACCCAGCTAACAGGAGGAGCACAGGGCTGCCCTCCAACCTGCCCAACTGACCCACACCATCTGCTCAGGTCTGCGGTTCTTCTGGACACAACGTTTTGTTCAGACACTCGTTTGGCGTTTGTTTCACATGGCTGCCTGTGGCTTGCTAGCTTGCTCGCCGACTGTTTTACCATCTCTCCGTGTGATTGTAGGCAAAGTGCGTTCCGTGTCCTGAGGAAAAAAAAAAACACAAGAGCAAAAAACAATGCCAAATCTGACAGTTTGTTGAATCGCTTGAAACTCCGTCTGACAGTTGTGTGGTAGTGCGGCGAGGGGGTCGTGTTGTGTGGAAAAACAAAAGGATTTCGCTGTATATAGCCTGTAGGTGAGGTGTTTGAGAGGCATTTCTGTCATGGTGCTATCACAGTATTTTAGGTTTCAAGATGGCTGCAGAGTGCACAAATAGAATAGGGATCAGGAAATTGACTGTTATTAATGTGATTTATCCTTTACTTTGTCTTTCTGCATGTGCATTAAGACAGCTGACAGATGATGCCTTTCTGTAATAGACTGCCATGCTCTCCATTTAACCTTCTTTTACATATATTCAAAATAAGACCATTAGCACTGTACACCATTTCATAATTTGCAAATTGGAAATATTGGTGCTGTTTTGTATATCATAATATTACATTATACAAAATTACATTTACATAATGGGCAAATTGTTATCACCATAAATACGTATTTTCTTTAATATTCTTTAATCTGTCATGGTATGTTGAAAAGGGATCTAACAATAACCAAAATATTGTGGTATCGTATCGTCAAAAGTCTCACAATAATATCATGGACTGTCGCAATATATCAAATTACAAGTTTCTTTGCTTAAATGCATGGTTTTATAGAAGCAACATCTTATAAACATAGGGAACTACATATCCCATGATTCATTTCAGTGCAGACAACATGAAGAAATATGTTTTTTACTTGAATTCTTAGGATTATGATGGAAATAATTTACACCAAAATCTTGTCATGGTATTTTAAAAGCAAAAATGTCCCATCTACAATTATATCAGCCTCTTCAAAATATCACACTAAATATTATACCGTGAGATGCATATCAAGATAATATTGTACTGGGAGATTTGGATATCCTTACATCCCTAATACTGAACATTTTTCCCAACCAAAAATCTTGCTAAATATTGTCTTGTATGCCTAATACATTTTGAATGAGATTATCTGGTATAAAATTATACATCGTGACACCACAAAGGAAAATTTTGTATGTAATCTTGTATTGCATAACATGATTTTAGCATATAAATACTGTATAATTAATAACTGCAAATTAGCCTGGTATTTTATATAGGCTATGGGTAAATATATTTTGCATTTCAAAATCTTGCAACTGGATGTTTGAACTTTTGTGGAGCTATATTTCATGAAAAGAAAAACATTTCCACATTATTTCCATCCTGATAGCTGTGCTCTGTATTTGATCCCATTTTAGATCTAGACAAAATGAAGACATTATCATTTCACGCCTATTTTCCACCGTTGTCTTCTTGGATCCCTGTTCTCTTTGTGAATGCATGCTCGTGGCTCGGAGTGTCTAGAGCTTGCTGCTTCTTTTTTAATGAGAGACTTTCTGGGTTGAGCTGATACCTCCCTCCCTGCCTCCATTAGGGCCCATTAGAATCATCATTAAGATAACCCAGGCTGCTCACTGCTCGCGCTGGCAGCATCACTATTTGCTGATTCCCCCTCTCTATTTCCTTATAGTGGTCGTGGGGAGAGACTTTTTTCCATTGTGTCTGGAAGAACGGGTTGCCATGGTAACATCACCCACCGGCGACATTTCGACTGTGGATATTTGCTTCTTGCTCTATGTTTGGGCTGTCTGCAATGCCTGTCTGTCTTGTGTGTCTATCTATCTTATGCCCTTAGTCCCTTCCTATTTTTTCCACTTGCGCTTTTGCCCGGAACAAGAGCCTGACAGTTTAATCCAATTCCCAGACCACTATAAATGTGCAGGTCTATATCCAGCTTGGACCCTGGAATTCATTTGAAAAATCGTGACACCTTAGCCGGCCCCGTTTCGCCCATAAAATGCAAGAAGTAAAGGAGAGAGGGAGGGTTTCGGCAAATAAAAAATCTAAAGACTCTGCCCTAGCTTTTTATTGAACTATTTATGGGTGTTAGGATCCTTGAAAGATTAAGCAGGCTGTTAATAGTGACTGGATATTCCATTAGCGGACCTCATGTCGGCGTCTAGGCGGTTTGACAGCAGCCCCAGGCACTTCAGTTTTTGTGGTCTTTAAGAGTAGGGTTTTTTAATTGAGGTACAAGTAAGAGGACTTGTGATTGAAGTACTGCACAAGCCTTGGCTGTAGATTAGACTACTAGCCCAGAGAGATTCTTCTTCTTCCTTTTGGGGCTCTTTTGTCAACCTCTTTTTAGTGCGAGTTAAATGCTGTGGGAAAAAAGACCAATGCAATTTGAGTATTCCCATTTCAGGCTCTCTTTGAGTCGAACAATCCCAGACTATTATAAACCTCCGCTTTATGAGCTCACAGACCATCAAGCAAAATGTGAAAGTTGTGTAAGGTGTAAAGTTGTCCAACAGCACTGTATAAAACTGTTTAGAACATTGCGTAGAAGTTGTAATTACAGCGTTTTCACGAGGGGTTAGTGTTGAGTCTATTCTAACATATTGAGCCTATCTCAGTTACTATGGACCTTCGGCAGGTTTCACTAGTTGTGCAGTTCTGGTTAGTTGCAAAGCTGACATAATAAATACAAATAAATAAATACAGTATTTTATAGTATAATTTTTCTTATTTTGATGTTTTGAAATGGAATAGTACACATTTCTAATATTTCTCATGGAAGGTCTGACACATTCTTCATGTAAATATTATTATTTTGTTTAGAATGTCCCACAGTATAACATTAATTCTTCATGGAGACAAGCAGGAGATGCCATGACAAGTCTTTTCTATACACATAACATAGCAAATATATAACATTTTCATATTACCGTTCAACAGTGTATTTCTCTATGGCCTATTTTGCTTTGATTCTGAATCCATAGTTCAACAAATAGTTTAGCACCACCATTAAGATTCATCAGTCGTTTCTTTGTGCGTGAAAGGTGTCAAGATGGCGCGTTTTATGCCACTTCCATTTTCTCCGCTACAACAGCATATAATTACCGTCATTAAATTGCAACAGACTAAGTGTGAAAGTCGTTCTGCGCAATAGTGATTATAAAAGCTTTTTTCTTGCTGAAAGGACTACTGATGAATAGTAAAGACAAAGTGGCGCGAGTATAGCATTTTTGTACTCTTTTTTTCTTCCAGATCCTACAAAATATCAGGGAAACGAGGCATGGAAAGGAGGAGAGGGCATGATAAGGGGCCACGATCTCTCTTCACAGCACAATTGAAACATAATTATTTCTTGCCAGATTGTGTGCTCAGCAAAGCCCCGAATAAGGCCCGACATTTAACTTTAATTAGCTGTGATTTATTCATACTGACTGGATCGCAGGAAGAAATTGGATCATCTGATTATAGTCAAGCGTGAAAATGACCTGATTAAACACTCCATGCGACCTATAGGGAAAGGAATACAAGAGCACCCATGGGCAGGCCACACTGGCTACGTCACTGACTATGAAAGAAGAAGCTGGAATGTTTTTCATTCATTAACTAACTATAATCCGTGTTAATTATTTTAAGAGGATATCATTAAGATTTTATTACATATCTTGGTTTGTTTGTGGTTGGGTGTGCTATGTGTGTGTGATTATAAACTTAAATGATCTCTAATCACTAAATGATTCCTGGGCGACTTCTACTTCTCAACATTTCATTAGATTTACTATTCAAATACATGATGAAGTAACATATTTTATTAATATTCAGTTTTACTATAGAATTTAGTTTTTTATAAACATTTGCTTGTTATGTATGTTTGTATGTTTTATATACTTCATAAATTGGACTACTGGATTAGGCAAAGTTCTTAAATATGTTGTTTTTCTTTTAGACTTTACACTTAGATTTAGACAAACTTTACTGACCCACAAGCAAAATTACTTGGACACAGTTGCTGATACGTCGTAGCACATCACAATATATTATAATAACAAAGAGGAAAAATATAAATGGTAATTACACATTCTAAATAAGTAGCAAAAAATAGCAATAAACGTGTCAAATAAGGCATAAGTATATAAATGTATATGTATGTGTATGTATATATGTAGGTAAAAATAAAATAGAAAAAAAGTCAGTAAGAGAGATTATTTTCACACACACTGACTAACTGCTCCATCTATCTTCTCTGCTTTGTTTCTCCAGGTGTGCCAACGAATGATAATTCAGAGTCTAAGAGTTGTACTTCAGTCAAGATCTCTGGGCTCCACCGTGGTCAGGAGCACAATAGCAGCATTGAGGTGCCCTTTGCGCCGCCCGTGCCCAGCCCCACCCCGGCATCGGCCCCCACCGGCTCGCCCGCCCCGGCAGCAGCGGCGGCACCCCCAGAGCCGCCCAGGTCCCGACTGTCCACACCTCCTCCACTCAGCAGCGTCAAGAAGGAGCAGACACATCCAACTCTACCTCTGCTCCCTTCCACCCCTCCCCTCCTGAGGGCGCCACCTCACCCCCTGTCCCATCAAGCCCACCTCCCACACACGCACCAGGATCCCCGAGTTTTGCCCCCACCCCCACACCACTCTCGCCCGATCATCAGCCACCATCACCCACTGTCGTACAGCAGCCTCCACGATTATAGGTAAGCACCTGCATACAGACTGAAATGAACTTAGCTGGAGTGTGTTCACCTGTACTCCTGGCTCTAAAATGTAAAAATAAACAAGTTAAATCTAATAAAATAAAAATAAACCAGTGTCACACCAGCAGTACCTGTATTAATAAGAACAGAATACAAAAGTATATATGCTAAATAGATTAGAGGTTTATTTAAATTAATTACATCATTGTCATGGTAATGTGACACATATATTTACCTGTCTATTGAAATGTGTCCTCATTAAAACAGTGCAATCTATATTAACCCAGTAATGGCTCTTCTATTTCACTGGATATTGATTTGATGTGCACAAACATTCAATAAGCAGATGTCAGATTTACTGTTTTTCATTGAGACTTGCTGGTACATACCACGGCTGCTCTGCTCGGTTCACCTCATATTGTGCCCTGTAAGGTTTATTGGAAAATCTTTCTTACGCTGTCAAAGTAAATTGTTGGCCTTTGTACACCAAATGAACATACAGTAAAGTCATAAAGATGTCTGAGGAGTATATGGAGCAGATAGGGCTTACATTTTTACAATTTACTATAAATGTAATACATGTTTTTATGCTTTTTGGGCTCTAACTAATATCTGTATATCTGTCCTGTTTCCTAACCTCAGCCACAGCAGCAGTCCTGTGGGTCTTCCCAAACACCACCTCCCCCCCTCACCCCATCACCACCTCAGCGGGCTGCCCTCGTCAGTGCCTGCTTTGCCTCTGTCCATAGCCAACCTCTCTACCTCGCACTATTCCTCCTTACGGAGCCCCGTCCATCGCCATCCGGCCATGTTTGCAACCCCAGCAGCACTGCCACCACCACCGACCTTACCAACCAACAGTTTAGTGGTGCCCGGACACCCCGCTGGCACACCCTACCCAGGTAACACCTTAGATTTAATGACACGTGGATACTTGATATACTTTTATATTTTATGTAGAAAACAAATATTCTGTTCAATCTATTTTACCTATCTATTTTTTATTTTATTTGTACCGTTAATAGAAAGTCATAATTACCTCTCATACTAAACCGTGATTTACATTTAGTAGTGACATAGTAGTTGTACTAGTTCTTTTCATATTTAATGTCATGTGAAGTTGAACTTGTCATACGTGAGGTAAGTGCCATTTCTTTATTTCTCTTATCTTTTCTATGAATGCTTTAATTGTATATATCCACACATGGTGCATAATCGACATTTGGAAAGTAAACAGCTTAAATACTTGTACACATAGACAAATTACTTCTTGTTTAGGACAGGTATCACAGTTACTATTGTATGATGGCTAGTGGGTCTTTTTGTCACACAAACACTGCATGTTATTTACACATCTGATATCACAGTAGGAGGAAGATTGGACTGTCATCACAGCTGGAGACATCTTCAGCAGCACTTCAGTGATGTGGCCTCCACAAGCAGAATGACTCGTATCCAGTCATTTGACTTCCAAAAACATAGTCCTCTAAATGCTGCAACAAAGAGAATAATGTCTCCAGCACTGATGGGCGTCCCCCTCTCAGAGGGTGTGTGTGTGTTTTCTGCTGGGATGACTCTTGGTTCTCTCTTGTCTTTAGATACCAGCCTGTTGATATCATTCAACCAACCAATCATGTATTGCCAGCCTCATTCGGGGATTCTGATTGGCACATTGTCACAGGCAACTCTCTTACCTCCACCAATGAGTCCCCACGTAGAAAACCCTCACAGCATGAGCTGGAGAAACAGAGATTGCCAGGTGACTATTTCCTCTTTCTACTTCTTGTGAACTGACTGGGCGCCGTCCCTTTTTTTCTTGTGTCCCCTCCCTCCCTTCCCCCCTTTTTTGGTTTCCTCGCTCTCCTTTCTTGCAGAGCATGACCTCCTGAGGCAGGAGCTGAACAACCGCTTCCTGGTTCAGAGTTCGGAGCGGGGCCGGGGGCCTGTGTCGCTCCTGAGGGCCGAGTTTCACCAACACCAGCACATGCACCAGCACCAACACACCCACCAGCACACCTTCACGCCCTTCCCCAGCCTCCCCCCGGCCATCCTCACCCCGCCCACCGCACCCCCCATGGTGCGTACCCAGGCCCGAAATGTGAGGATAAGTAACTACAGTTCCCATAACCTAACCCTGACAGTTTTTTCTTCAATCAGACCCACTTTTCTTTTATTCACAATTTTAGTCCCTAATTGTTGCATCCTCCCTTCCAAAAAATATATTAATTGACTTTGATTTCTTATTGTTGTACCACTGCCACTGATGTTCCTTTGAAGCTGGAACATTTTAAACCAAAGCAAAAAAACAACACTATGCAGCGGGGGCCACTACTTTCAACACTGCATTGCTACACACAGCTTCTTTCATGCAATTATTGTTATGCTGCTAACAAAAACATTAGCATATGCATTACTGTGACAGAGGCCAACATCTGACTCATTTCTCCCAAATAAGAGAGCATTTCCTAATCTAATTTCAACTTTTCATTTAGCCCTTAACTTTAGCTCCAGATCAAAATAAAGGCTGGCCTCCAGGCAGCTTTTTAAATTGGACACATATGCACATGTTTATAATAGCTTTAAATGTTTAGCTTGTTTCCAGACAGGAATAAGGGGACACAGATTTGAGTTAGCTTACTCTTACAGTGAGTCATATTGGTTCATTGTGGATAGAGACATGGATGACATCACGGCTAAACTGTTGTGATCATTTGTCTAATTGCTTCCGTGCTTTGACTGGGGCTCGAGGTCAGACTTTTAGATGAGGGGAAAGTTATAACTATTCATCAGTCATTTCAAACACTGACAGTCGATGCAGATGCGGCTCTCATTTGTAGCTTTTGGCATCGGTCTAATAGATCTAATCCATCTCGTGATGACCTTTGATTAAGGGCCCTCTTCATGATTATCCTCTTCCTGTACAGTGTGAATCAAAGCCAAGGTTTTTACACTGTTCAGCCAGGTCCAACTCATGCACAGCTCCCTGCCCCACTGCTCCTAACATGGGAGAGATTACATACCATACACAGCCCTGTTTGAAGATGAAAGGGGCTATTTCCCTCATCTCACTAATGCCACCATTATGTAGTCTTTACTTTGAATATAGTCTTCTTTCACTGGGATTTGCTGCTAATGTCTTCTGCAATGTTTTTAATTGAAACTGTGTTGTTGCTAACTTGTGCCTTTTCCCTCAAAGTGAAACAAAGCTGTCTTTCTTCTGTGTGTCATTTGCTTAGAATGGCTAAGAAATGTAATGTTGTGGTTGTTTTACTGTTTATCATAAAAGGAAAACCAAGTAAAGCCCTGTTATGAGTCTCCATGTATCACTATCTCTCCAGTGTTTTGCTTTCGGCCTACTCTATAGAAGCCCCATGTCATTTAAACTATGTAACAGCCCTTGGCTAATGGCTGTAATTAATGAAATTATGAAGCCTCTATTTGTTTATTGTTCAATGCCCTCAAGCAGCTGGCTTGCCAAATGGCAGCACTGAGCATCTCTCCTCATCCACCCCCTTGCCCCAGCTTTGTTGTCGGTCAGGGAATAGTCTTAATTGTTATAAGATGAAATATTAAGCTTTAATTAGTCAAAGCTGTATACCATAAAACTCTGACAGGCGTTATAAATTATATGTGCCGGCTTTATTCCTCACTTTTTACAAGGCTATAAAGCGTCCAGAATCCTTCTCCGAGTGTCAGACATTAAACAGGCCGTGCCTTCAGAAATGCAGAGGAGCCGTTTAATGAGCTCGGAAGCAGGCTCGGCGGGTCCTCTCAATGGGCCGTCTGTCTTTGATTTGGGCCGATTATCGCCCACAAACAGCGCCGCCAACACCATCACTGCCACTGCTGCCATTTTGAGAGCACATGTGAAAGACTCCGCTTTACCCGAGGGCTCCTGACCCACAGCCTGTATCCCAGCCAACCCTTGGCTCGCCCCCTCCACCGCCCATGTGGCAACACCGCACAGAAAAACACTGATTCATACCCGCTCATTTCCCTGTTTTATGTAAACCCAAAATGTAGGAGCCTGCCAAGAGTGCTTTGTGAAAACACTCGCAAAAAGTACCTGCAAATGGCTTGTGTATTTGCGGAAAAGGAATAACTTACTGTCACTTGTAATTAGCCTGTTTTTAAAATAGAGAGGCGGCACTGGCTTATGAACACAAGTCCCTATTCATCCATCTTCAGGTCAACATACGCAGTTCTCTCCTCTGTCTCCTCTCCTTCTCAGCTTTCCCACTCAATTCCCATGTGTTGAGGACAAGCTCACAAGCAGTTTTTCAGAGATCATAAGTTATATTATATGGCAAATTGCAATTTTTATTATAATGTTTCTGGCCGGCACAAGCTTTGAATCACAAATGTTTCCTGGCGTGAATTCATCGTTCCAGACTTGCATTAGTTTTATACCGAGTTGTCCTGAATTAGCTGCTAACCATCGCAAATGTCATCAGCTTGATCCAGTTTCATTCATTAGACTCACACAAGGGGCTCTATATAATCTTTCCATGAATTTGAGCACAAGGAATTGGTCTGTTACGAGAGAAAATCTGAAACCCAAAACAAGCAATGCGTCTCCTCTACCTCCCCATCTCATCTATAACATTTGGTCTTGTTATTGCAGTCCAAAGCAATTAGAGTCAGATTTCGGCACATTTTCCAGTGTATAGACAAAACTGGCCTGATTTTGAAACTGCTTCCACACCCAATCTCCCTTTGCTCAATTGGAAAATCAGGGAGGTTGTCTTCATGTGGGCAGCTCACTCAAGTGCCTGTATTGTTAGTGATTTCACTGCCTATCTGAGCGTACAGTGGAAATAAACCCATGACTGGTGCAAGCCAGCTGCTTCACTCCAGGGCTCAGTGCTCCTCATCAAACCAGAGCTTATGTATATCATGTGTCTAGTTTCATCTGAAAATTGTGAATTTGTGGGAAAAAAGTGTGGACTTTTTGTTAATTCGTCTTTTCTTATCTCTTTCAGTTTGACAAGTACACCCCCAAGCTGGACAATCCTTTCATCAGACATTCAAATGTAAGTTTTTTTCTTGTCATTATATTTAATGGCATATGTTAAATTAATTATGTGAATTTGAATGTTGCCTGGGAACATTACTGTGATTGTGTCTGTACCTGCATTGGTTTGACTGATGTCTCCCTGGGTGTCTTTCTCCTCAGTTCTTCCCCTCCTACCCCCCCACTATGCCAGGCATGCCCCCGCTGCTCCCACACTCAGGACCCTTCAGCTCGCTGCAGGGAGCCTTCCAGCCCAAGGTCAGCCCAACAGTCCTCACCTCACAGCAGCCTCCACACGTAGCCGCATGACACTGTCTCACAGATGCTTGTTAAACAAATGCAAATCCTTGAACAATTCTGGGTCTAAACAAAGACATCTGGAGCCAATGTTGAAAAATTGCCCTGATGTACGCATTTCATCGGTTTACTCATGCACTGTATGAGATAAATGGCAGCAATAAGGGCTAATCTGCATGTAAGTTGTCAAATCAGATGATTAATACGCCATATGGTAGGAGCTGCAGGCGTCTGTGTGTTCAAGCTAGTTATCCATAAAACACTGTAGCAAATGATTTCAGAAAGAAGCATACCTGGTTTGTTGTGTAATATAATTTAATAAGTAAAAATTATGTTTTCAATGTTATTATTATTACATCATATCAATTTTATTGAGGGCATTACCGAGGGCATTACCCAGGACATCCCCACTGACACCATCAGATTATTAGCATCATCTTGTGCTTGTCCAAAACTGTCATTAAAAGAACAATACTATTGACTGTATTTTATTTGCTCTTATTGATATCTTTCCCTATAAGAGTACACAGGTAAAGGACACAGAGCAAAGCAGTGTAGATTTGATTCAGTGATAGTAGATGGGAGGGTGCAGTCCTATCTGGCTGAAGCCCAGTGGCTGTGACCCGATGTAAGCCACCAATCAAAGCTGCCCTAAATCCCCTGGCCTTTCTCCTGGTGGGGTTAGTCATGGTGGGGCCCTTTTTTGTTGTTGAAGGTACCTCCAGATGGTTGAAAGAAAACATGGATATATCTAAAGCTGCTGTTCAGTATTCAGGGAGAGGGCAGGGCGTGGGACGTGCCTCTGTTTGTTTGTGGTTGCTGCTGACCCTGTAGCACAATCTTCCTCCTCTTGATGCGGGACGGATTAATGCGGCTGATCTAGGCACTTGTGCTCAAAAGACTTAAAGAGGAGATCAGAGAGATCACAGATGTGCTAGTGTGCTAAAGCTGAGCGCTAGCAGCACCGTTGCATTTTCATCTCCTGACGTCAGCGATACTGGAGGATTTATTGAACGATAGTGCTTAGAGAGGGTATAGGGTTACTGGAATGGGTTTTCAGGCTCTAAACATCAGGGTTATATTATACACTCAAAAAGAAACCAGGTCAGAGTATGGCTCTATAATTATTGTATTTTATTTCATTCCATTTTCTGTAGGCATCTAACCCCATTGACGTAGCAGCCCGTCCAGGAGCAGTACCTCACACACTACTACAGAAGGACCCAAGGGTAAGCTGAAATTTTTGATGGTTGATAGACTCAACTAGAAACGCAAAGCCTTTTTAGTAGGAATTTAAGATAAAACATAAAAAATATGTCTAATCATAAAAGTATGTTGAATTCCGTAGTGAAGAGGAATTGAACCAATATAACAAAAAAAAATGCTGTAACAGTATATCTTTCACAGGTTGAATGAGATCAAGAAGTAGTTTTTCTAGAAACTGTTACAATAATTCCTGTTTATGTGTTCACAGATAACAGATCCATTCAGGACGTCAGTACGGGTAAGTCACTTGATTCTCATCTCTCATTTACATATTTTTCATTTGGTTAAAAGATTAGTCCAAAAAAGGTCTCAAAAATCTCAATAAAAAATGTAGGTTTCATTCAGTTTATTGCCCTGTTTCAAAAATGATCATATTTTTAGTCCTGCCAAACTATTGAAATGCCAACATTTTTACCTCTACATTAAAACCAGCATGCTGACCTTAGTCTCTTGCTAATGTTTTTGTAGAAACCTGGCAAGTGGTGTGCAGTGCATGTCCAGATCGCATGGCAGATCTATCACCACCAACAGAAAATGAAGGTGAGTGAAATGGTTGAGGGAATATTTAGTACAATGTCAAAATATAAAACCTTTGACATAATATGTGATTCAAAGGTACTATTAGAAGTTATTAAAAATGTATCTTTTTTTATTTTTAATTTTTATTTTGCATAACGTCCTAGACTATGCCTAAAATTAAGCATGTATAAAATTCCTTTCAAAACTCAAGCTGAGCAAAGTATGTGTAGTCTTAGAAAGCAGCTAATGCGTCTGGCCTGGTGCTGTCAGTCCTTTTCGGACCATGAACCCTTGTTACAGAGGATTAGCTTCCCCTAATCAGCTTACTCATATTTGTTCTAAAACACTGGCCAGAATTGGAGACATAGGGCTTTTGTTTATGTGTCTGTCTTCCTCTGATCTCTCACCCAGTGAAGCCCAGGATAAATCCCTCTCCCTCTATTGTCGGAAATGTTTGTTGCTGTTGCCTGCCAGCCTAACATCCCGCTCTGCTCTTCTCTGCCCCTCTGCCCCTCTCTGTCACTTCTCTGCCCCTCTCTGCCTCTTCTCTGCAGCAGATGCAGCTGGACCCGCACAAACTCGACATGAACGGGAAGCTGGACTTGTTCAGTCGACCTCCAGCCCCTGGAGTTTTCCCGGGGTTCCCCTACCCTCACGACCTTGCACGGCCACTCTTCTCTTCCACAGGTCAATCAAATAAATACAACAAATGATTTCTACCACTCATACTACTACAGCCTAAAAGCCTGCCAAAGCAATTTTGTCTTTATGCAAATGAATATTTAAAACTGCATGTTGAAGCCACTCCTGTAATGAAATGGTGTCATTTTTTTCTCTCCTCTCATGTAACGTTCACTTAATTATAGTGCTTTTGTAGCAAATGTTTTGCCAGTAAAGGGTGTCAGATATGTCTATGAATATGGATGACTAGCGCTTAGGTAATTGACTGATTTGCCCTGCGTTGGAGGGCAACAGAGAGGCGAACACCCTTTGACTAGTAATTATGCAGTGGTGTGTCAGAGGCACTCCTATAATTGCTTCATTCATTAACAATTCATGGAATATGGGCAACGCTTACTACGCTCTGGTGGAAAGGACCGGCTACTTACACTTTTACGAACTGACCCCAATATGATGTGGTCGTTTTATGTAGATTGTCTATAAGTAGAATAGAAGTTGAGTTTCAACAGATTTAGGTTTTATATAATATACTTATTATAAAGTATTGTATTAGTATTAAATATTAATATTTAAATATTTAAATTAATCACACATATTTTTCTTGTTTGTAGGACCAGGTCATCCAGCAGCACAGCCCTATGGTCCTGCCCCCCATCCCAGTGGCTTCCTGCCTCCTAGCCATTTGGCAGGTAAGTGTAAGTAACTCCACTTTCACTACTATTTTATACAGCTATTTCCATTTTCTCTTCATCTTTCTCCCTCTCACCCTCTCCCTCCAACCTCACAACCCATTCGACATAACAGCTCAATTTGGAACCTAGTTATTTCCAAGCGTGACCTCAAGTTCATTTCAAGGTTAATAGGGTGCCCATTCAGGCATTCAGTTCAGTCCAAGTTCACATTTTTGGAGAGACAGGCTTTTTCACAGTACAGTACACTGTGACGTACCTTGTTTTCCTAACAAGGCAGGGGTAATGATGTGAATCCAATGATGCCTTTATGTTAATACATTATTGATTTATTTTATTGAAGGTTTTGAAGTTTAGTTCATTTATAATATCCAAATGTCCAAACATGTTCCCGCTTAAAGTATTTGATGCAATAGAACAGATTCAATGGTTTTCTGCCTTAGCTTAAGTTTTAGTCTTGACACATTGACATCTCAGCAGACAATGCAAATTTGCAAGTAGACAATGCAATTAATGTCACTTCACTAACCTGACAAAATGAGCAGAAAAGTACAAGTTGTCATCCCTGTTACTAGATTCACCATATTCAGTTAAATCAAGTTGCACAGTGTCCCATGCAGGGTAGGGTTCACAGACTCTCCACTCCCGTTAGTGGCAGTAAATCCTGAATCCTGGAAGCCTGGCAGCAGCGGGATTACCAGGCTGAGCGTTAGGGCAGCAGTGGAGGAAAGCCACACACAGCTCGCTTGTAAGAGAAAAGCCGAGTGGAACGGGCTGGGGCTGGGTGAGCACCAGGAGCCGGCCCCCGCTTTTGCTAATCCCTGTTTGGCATTTTGCAGATCCTTTCAGTCGCTCCAGTTCCTTTGGCGGCCTCGGCAACCTTTCAAGCAGTGCCTTCGGAGGATTAGGCAACCCCTCGCTTGGTAAGCGCTGGCCCCCTCTCATCCTTCGATCCAGCCCTTTGGCCAGTAACAAAACAGAGTGGGACAGAGACAGACCACAGGGACAGACAGGAGAGTTGAAAAAAATAAAATCAAGGCACTTAGCTGCAGTTTTTGTGTCAAAGCTGCCATAGCTGAGAGAGGCCCAACAAGTAAACCACACCACAGTCTACCTCCTCCTGCCTCCACTCCATCTCGCAGCCATGTCCCCAGCAGCCTGGCTTTAATCTGGCGCTGCTACTGCCAACACGCACTCCCGGGTCCACCATTTGGTGGCAATTCATCTATTAATTACTTGACAAGCCCCTTCTGCAGCACCATGGAGGGCTTTCTCCTTCCCCCCCGCATCCTTCCTCCCTACCTTCCACTCTCTTTCTCTTCACCCCCTATTCTTGTGTGCCAATTCAGTCAGCCTGTTGTGAGAATGAAAAGTGATTGGAATAGACATGCCGTGGAATTTTAAGGTCCCTCTTGGCTTTTCACAGCCCCACTCCAGAGGGCAAGAGAGTCTCCCCTGTTCATCCGGTGTAAAAAACAGGAGGGAGGGAACAGCTCTTTAGTATAAAAGCAAATGAGTAGATTTTTTTTCAGTTGGTGGGGGAGCCATTAACCTCTTACTCTTTCAAACCGCTTCAGTGAGAAATCCTCCACAGACAAAGACTAAAGCAGCTTTTGTTGTTGAATCTTTCTCATCTTATATGTCCTCAAGAGGGTTTTGTGCCCAATTAACTTACAGTGGCTCCCACGCCTGTCCCTTGCCTCTCCAGGGTCCAACAGTGTTTTTGGCAGCAAAGAAGGGCCCGCGGGTCTGTCCGGGTTTGGCAGCCCCCACCATGACACCTGGAACAGACTTCGACGTACTCCGCCATCTTTCCCCACACCGCCGCAGTGGCCCAAATCTGCAGACGTCGAGAGGAGCAGCTCAGCCAATAGCCACGAGCGAGAACGAGAACGTGAACGAGAGAGGGAACGGGAGAGAGAGAGGGAGCGAGAAAAACGAGACTCCTCCATTGGGAAAGAGGAGAAGGACAAGGACAGGTGAGGCTGTCCTCTTAAATAGTGCACTATAAACTTATCAAACAGAGTGAGAGACACAGCCAAGCAGTTTCATACATAACACGTTTAGGACATTCATTCCTCTAACCGAAAACTACACATTTGTTTTTTGCAGGGATTCCGTGGATCGGAACCGTCATTCCAGCCGCTCCTCTCCTGCCTCTGGGCCAGTCAGTTACCAGATCAGCAGTCTGATTCGCTCCAACAGCCAAAACTCCACAGACTCAGGGCGGCACCACAGTGGCAGCGTGGACCGCATCAGAGACGGAGACAAGGATCTTCTGGAGCGCCACAGAGAGGCCAACATGCCTGATGTGAAGGTGAAGGAGAGCCGCTCGCCCAGTAAAGAGGTCCTAGAGCGGAGGTCCTCAGAAGACTGCATCAAACCTGCTCAGCGCTCCCCATCTCCATACTCCAAAGCAGTGATCAATGAGCAGAGCCTGAAGATGACAGGACCCCCACCCACTCTGAAGGACAGCGACAGGAAGGAGCCTGCAGAGCTGCTGCATAAGGTGAAAAACGACATGAAGATAAAAGAGGAGAGAAAGGAGGAGCAGGAGGTCATGGTGGTAAGCTCTGAACCTGCCCCACAGCCACTGTCCCAGACTCTCTCCACTCCTGTGTCTCAATCTGGAAACCCTCATCACCATCACCCCCCTCTGTCCCAGCAGCCCCCTCTGCCATCACCACGGGGCAGTGACCTCCCTGGACCGGGACTGCACGGTGTTCCCATGGCACACTCCCTGCCCCTCTCTATGAGTGCTGTGCCTCAGATAGGCAGTCTGAACGTCCTGGACAGGGCTCGTATGGCCCCCTTCATGGGGGTGAGCCCCCTGGCAGGACGAGAGCGTCTGCCCCATCCAGCCTTCCCCTGGGACCCTCTGAGAGAAGCTTACCGCAGCCTGGACCTGCAGCGCCGCATGGACTTCCAGCTCCGGGCCGAGGGACACCGGTTCCCCAGTGTGTACGAGCAGGAGCGGGCGTACCGCGAGCGAGAGGCCCATGACTACTCCCACCACGAGCACCTGCTGGAGGTCCGGCGGGAGCATGAGCGCCTGAGACAACAGGCCGAGGAGAGAGAGCGCCTTCACCTGAGGGAGGAGTTGGACAGGGCCCGTCTGCACCAGCTGCATCAGTCCCCTATGGAGGGACACCTGCCCCACATGCCCCCCTTTATGCCTCCTTTGGGGGGCATGCCTTATCCCAGACTGAGCCCCTCCACTGGACACAATGGGCCACTGAACAGGACACCTCCAACTGCTGCGCTCAGTGCGCCCCCGCCCCTGGTGCCAGCTGCTAATGCTCGTCCGGCATCACCCAGAAGGACTACCCCCCTCACCACCCAGGACCCCAGGGACTACTCCCCATCTCGCAACCCCAAAGAGGTAGAAGCCCGGTAGCTTCTGACAGTCTTACTGTAGGACTTTGAGCCCACTCTGAAACAGTGCACTGCTCCTTACCAGAAAAGAGCATCAGTCCCTAAGGGAAAGGGTATGATTGTACAAATGAAATGTGCAACAGACTGCACATGCCATGACCTATTTTTAGTGGACTGAAGGTTAAATAATGTCGGTGAATAACACATATAAGTGTATGTTTATAGCCGACTTAAATATTTGATAATTATTAATATATTAATCCAGTACCTTTTTTGCTTTATGCAAGAAGAGGGGTCTCAATCGAGTTTGTACATTTCTTATTCTTGTTCCATGTATAGATATCATTTCTATAAATTTGATGTATTTTGTGCATTCGTCACTCTTTTTACAATATTTATCTCAGTTGATAGTGAGACATATCCATTATGACCCACACTAAAGACTGGATTTCACTTTGACCCTAATTTAACCTCATGGTACCAGGAGATCCTCAATGACAATGTACATTGTTACATTACCAATCTGTTTTGTTCATTTGTTTGCCTTTGAGATATGCAGATAAATATATTATGAGGTCTTTGTTCAGTCCCTGTATAGAAAACGGATGTAAATATCTTGTTGATATTTCTTTGCTGTAAAATGACCATGTAAATTATAGGCTTTTTAACCATTTCTAGAAAAACAAAATGAAGTGAAACTTGGAGAAACCCATCACTTTGAAACTAAGACTAGGTTTTTGGCCAATGAATGGGTTGAACTGAGGGTGTTGTAAGAGGGCCAAGAAGGATCAACTGCAATCTATGCAAAGCAGCACACAGCACCCTAAGGAAACTCAGACTGGAAGGAGCGGATTCTCACAACTCTTAGAGGAACCTGGATTAACAAGTGTTTATATTTACCAATGAATTGGAATTCTCAAAAGACTTCCATGTCACAAACTGGACCAGCCCTGGACAGATGCGAAAGACACTTTTTAGGGGCAACAAAAGGACTTTTTCTGTCAACCGTGTGGTGTTGTGCAGTTGTTTTTCTTAGACTCTTGTATACAAAACAAACAAGTAGAGTTTTAGGCGTGCAAAAATGAACATTCATGGTTTAAAATGTACGGAATAAAGTTTGGACCTAATGTCATGAAATTTTCTACTTCTTGTCTTCTTTAGTTTGACTGCAGCGGTGAATGTGTTTGCAAGACTGGGCCACTGAGCTGAATGTTGATCTAAGGTTGATAGGTTTGCCGATAATGCTGTGCTCAGCTTCCAGCATTTAGACTATTTGCTCATCTTAAATCAAGCTATTACTTTGAAATCATAAAGGCGACCAACTTCGCAAGGAGAGTAGCCTAAGCCATCAGATCATTTGGCCATAATCTGTCATACATGGGCTGCAGAGCTCTTCAGAGAGAATCGATGAGATTGGACCAAGGCAATACAGAGAGGGACTAATAGAACATTGATTTTGTATGAAAGCAGGTTTTGAGTGTTTGTGTTGCAGGTAACCGGTATTGACTGGCAGCCCAGCGGCATATTGACCTGCGGTCTGGACTCATTAAGAGGAGCAATGCCTGGGAGGCAGGCTATCGGATAGACGAGGAGAGGCTCTCCCCTCTCTCTCACACCACTCATCTCTGTTCTAATGAGGCCGGAAGGCGCTCCGCAGTGGGCTGCACCCAGAGCCCTGAGGCACCCCGTCCCACTATCGACAGGAGCTGTGCTGAGCTGTGCCTGTCCACAGACGGCCAATTCATCCTGATAATGCCCTGACTACTCATCTCTGCTGTGCGCCGCCAGACCCACCAATCCAATCACATGATATCAGGCCAAAGTGACAGCGTGGATCAAACTGTGGCCAGGTCATTAGAGGATGTTATTGAAAATCAATAGTGCTCCTGTGTCTCACACACTCAAGCTGTTTTTTCCACAGGATCCTTGAAAAGACTGTTTGGCAGAATAGAGCCGCTGTATCGGGAAGACTTAAATCACTATCACTTTCAATTTAGGTTCCAAGTAATTGAGACACATATTCTTCAAATGGCTAGCATCTGCCTGTGGTCAGTGACACTTTATTGCTGTGTGCTTTTAGTCCTAATCATCTAGTCAACAACAGGTACTTAACCTATGTGCTTGTTACTGCATAGTGATTTTTCTTTCTTGGTATTATTTACCAAGGAAGCCTTTGTGGGTAACAGACACACACCTTACCTTCTCTGCCTCAATCTCTCTGGCCTGTGCACTATCCATTTTACGGCTGAGTGTGAACGGCCCTCCGGAGATGAAAAGCTCCATCAATTTCACTCATCGTCTGGCAAGGTCAATTTATTTCAGCACACAGTCCATCATCAGATGGGAATCAATTGACACATTGCCTAGCATATCCAACCCAAGGTGGGTTATTACAGCCACTGCAATTGTCAGCTCTTTTCCACAGCCATTCTTCACTTGTCTTGGCGGTTTTATTCTTTTCTTTTTTAACACAGGGATTATGCATGCTTTTCTATATGTATTTATACATGATTTTCAATTTAACTAATATTTATTTTGACAGGGATTTACAAAGGAGTGCCTCACTAGACAAATGACTGTAATCCTAGAGTGTATGTTTACACCCATTTTTCTGCTCTGTATTAGGATATGGTGGTATCTGAGGTAAGACATTGTTTTATTGTTCCAGTAATCCCCTTCATTTATCTGTGAGAAACCTCAGCACTGAGCATTTGGGATTGAATTTTCATGGTTTCAAATACATCCAAAAACACTTGGCACCACGCTCACCTCAGATTCAACAAACAGCGGAGCAGGCCTGAGGGCTTTAATGGAGCACAATAGCAGCCCATAACACAGTGCCAAGCTAATAAGATCGGCACCAAATGAACGGTGCCGTCCAAGCTCCCTTTCTCTCTGCACTCCCCTCTGATAAAACATGTATGAAAGAGATTTGGAGCTACTGCTATGTAGTGGCTCCATAGACGTTTCCCCAGTGAGTGCTAATGCATTAGTTCCCATTCGAAGGCCGTTTTGAAATGGAGATCGGTAATGAGACGAGGGGCCCCTGCCATGATCACATTTGGATAGCCCGGGCCTCTGCTGGGTCTGCTGATTTAGGAGTTCAAGCTCATCTCCCTGCAGGGGTGATGAGAACCATAGGAAACCACTAAACTCTATCTGAACTGAGCAGAGGAAGGCGATGGAGTCAAGGGCTTTGGCTGTTACATGCATGTCACAGTTGTCTGTAGCCTCCATGTTGTTTTTGAGCACCTAAAAAGGCTAGCAACATCTTTTTATAGCCTCCGGTGTGTATGGAGCGGCAGCTGACACAAGCCAGGCCAGTTGCGGTTAAGGAGCTGACTTGGAAACAAGCGCGTGGTGTGAATTCCAAACGCTGGTGACAAAGTGCTGTCTAATGTCCTTGCACCTCTGGACGTATGACAAACATTCAGGCTGTCTCACACCATCACTGCAGCATACCATTACAATTACTATTATCTATATCTATTTCTTTTATGGAAGCTAATGCTTTTGTTAAATCAGGATACTGTTACATTGTTATAATTCTTATTAATGTACCCTGACACACTGAAAGCTGAATAAATAAATATAATACGCTTCATATCACGGTAGAAGTGGTAGTAGTATTTAGTTTAGTTTTAGTTCTATAGTGTTACTTCCAGTTAAGTAGTATTTTGAACCAGTGATTGACATATATTTTTTCTTTACATACTCAGTTTTCCGCTTTCAGAAAATACATGTCTCAATTTGACGTTTCTGTAGGATAATAACTTTGACATGTAAAAGTCTGATTCTGAAGTTAAAAATTTATGCTGCTGATTTTGGATTAAACCATTTTGGCAACTCTGGCGACCAAGAGGGATGAGCCTCACTGATGACAGACAAGGAGGGGCAGAAAAATAAAAAGTTGGGGATGGAAATGTAGGAGGAGCAGAACAGCCATCAGCCAAAGTTTTCCACTTTGATTGAATTTTAAGATTTTCCAGCCTTTAGTGGAGCCTCACAGTATCCCACACTGACCATATTATGTACACAAACCATAAAAAATGAATAACATTTATGCAGCTGGGTGCAGCTGGCAGTCAAAGCACTTTCATTCAAGGACCCACAGGATGGCGCTGTGCCCATAACTGCTCCCTGTCTTTTCTCATAGATGACAAGTGGAAAATGGTGTAGTGAAAAAGATACCATGTCTAAACAAGAATTAAAATAGGACAAACTAGGCATGTGACGTTAATAGATCAAGACATATCTAGACCAGGACCAAGAATATAAACACGATTTTTTTTAAAAACAAGTTTAGTCCTGCTTATATGGCCAGACAGACTGGCAGCATGAGGCTATGTTGTTTCTGTCCTGGACTGAGTGATTTCTATTCCCAACCTGAATCTTACTCCTCACACCTATTTTACACTGTACTAACACGTCAAATAAAGCCTACTGGTCAAAAGAAATTATCTTTTAAAATAAATGTAATTCAAATCAAAGTGGCACTATATGCCTAAAACGTAACTGGCATTTTGATTTCTTTTAATAATGAATCATCTGATCTTTCATTCATTCATTTCATGATCTCATTCTTTCATGACATCCAGAGAGCTTTAAAGTGTATTATTTATTCACTCCACACTCGCCATGGTAAGATATTATGGTAACCACAGCTGCCCTGGGGCAGACTGATGGAATCTAGACATCTGCATCTGCACTGTCTGCACTGTCTGCCCCTCCAACCACCACCAACTAACTGTTTTAGTTTTTGCCACTGGCACCTCTCCTGATATTCTCAGTGGTCTTCCATCCAACTATTAACCTGGCCCGGCCTTGCTTAGCTTCTGAGATCTGTCAGTATCAGGCTTTGACAAGCAGGTACGGTCAGATCACATCACCAGGACCAATAAACCTACAGAACAAAACCAGCATGTCAGGGTGTCTTAACCAAGGTCCACATTAACAACAATCAAAGCTGCTTAAGGTGTGTCTAAATTAAAAATAAATACATTAATTGGAAAAAGAGGGGAAAAAGACAAACATAAAATAGCCTATACTATACTTTGTAGAATAATAACCTACAGATAATATTTAATCAAAGGTGCACTATGTAACTTTATGTCTCCGTGGAAATGTTACAGCTATGCCTTGAATGTTTCACAGTATGTCATTAAACATGTCCATTTTTATGGAGACAAGCAGTAGACATGTCAAGCTACAAGTTAAAGCTTAGGAGAGGTCACTCCGCTGTTTTTTTTTTGTTTGTTTGTTTGTTTTTTTATTGTTGTTCTTTTGTTTTGGGATTTGGGTTTAATGCCTCGTGGAACATTTAGCAGTAACATCTCTTTGCAGACAAGTAGATGACAAACCCTCCACCAGAAAAGTTAGGCTACATAGTGCAAGACCAGAAGTCCCCTCTGTATCACCACACCATCATATCTCATATATGAAACCAATGCAATAGTTTTAAAGAGCAAATGATGTCCATCTACAGCATGTCCAATTTGGCACAGGCTAGCCCATGATTAGCCACAGAGCCGCTAATCAAAAGCGCCTCAGTGTTTGATGGGCCCTGAGAGCCAGTGCCAGCTGGTGACAACATGGCTAGTGTCCACGGGCCAAGAGTGAAGTTTATTTGAATATGGATCTAGCCGTGACCGTATTTCTCCAGAGCTCAGTTAACACAGCGTTCCCTGGCTCATCGCTGGGATCGCCTCCGAGCCGCTGGCACCAGATCGGAAGAGGGCGGAAGTTTTCCAAGCCGCAGAATGGGAATTACAGCCCGGTCCGTCCCCTCTGGTGGTGTGGGCATATTCAAAGGCGTTTATTCAGTTTGACGCTGGCACACACGCAGCACCTAGCACTCTTGGCATCAGTGTGTGAGGATTTCCTTTCCAACATAAAAATCCTTAAATTGTCAGGGGGTTATTTTTTAAAGTTTGAAATGAATTAATTGGAAAGTAAAATCCATGTAAAATGATCTTGTCACATGTTGAATAAAAGTTTTTTATGCTTTTATTAGTTTGAACTCCAGACTCCAGTCATATATTAGACCACCTATGCTGTGTGGTCTGGATAGCCTATTAGTGCTCTACATCTCATAACAACTTTTATGCTCCATG